TAAGGCGTGGCGCGTGTTGAATACGAAACCCCAACCCCCAAGGTTTTCGGAAGGGGTTTATAAAGGGTAAATTAATGGGGGGGAAAAGGAGGGCAACGGGAGCTATTAATTGAAGCGGTGGATAAAGAAAAATGTGGCGTTATTTAGATTATGCTTGAAGCGCTAGGAATTACTGGGTGGAGGTAAGTAGGCCGAGTACTTAGGATTACAATACATATAAAACTTAGTATTTATATATATTTAAGTTATTAAATACATTTAAAATTTAGTACTTAAAAAATAAAAAACTTGGTATTTAAGAACTTAGTATTTAAAAACTTAGTACTTAAGTTATTAAATACATGCAAAATTTAGTACTTAAAATATGTAAATGTCCTGTTTGATGAATAAAAGCATCGTATCACATGCAGGCAGACACAAACAAACAAACGCGAATTTTCAATGTGTCTCTGGTTATGCATAAATGCACGATACCTTTGCTTGATATGATCAAGAACAGTGGTTGCAACGGTTGTATGCAAATCAATCAAGCGTTTCTTTTCAAGCAGTTCCGGAAGCGATCCGACCGTGGACGTCAATTTTGCCGTAGCATCGCTCAGCAAACTCACTGTTTCATCGGATTCCACATCATCCATACCCTGGAAGAACGAAATTCCTCAAAATCCGGTATGAAGAGTAGAGCAGTAGATATGGTAATTTAGTGATTTATGCTGATATTTAGCGCACCAAAGCCGAAAAAAGTTTGGATTTGAATGTTTCTAGCATTTGCGGGTCTAAGCCGGCCACTGATCCTTACCATAGCATGCTTGAGGCGTTTGATTTCGTCCTCACTATTTTTATAGGCTTCAACTTCTTGCTGTATCGCTTCAGCTACCAGTGGAAATGAGCTTCCTTTATGGTTCATCCACAGCTTATCATGCGGATTCATATCGTACTCCTTTCGTCGTCCTGTTTTGTCTTTGATTACCACACGATTCAGATCCAGATCCTGAAAATCCACGGACCCATTTTTATCCTGCTGCGAATTTCATTTGATGACTATATCTCACCCATACTAAATTTCAATTTTAACTTTGTACGCCTACTGATAAGATCGTATAATCTGTTTTTAGAACAGAAAGATATCCTGAAATAGGAAGAAGAATTGAAGAGAAAATAATATTAACAAATAAAAATTTTCTGGGACTTTCGCAGAAGTCTTTTGGATTCTACTAGCACTTACCACCACCATAACTACTTTCATCTACAATTGTTGAATCCGAAATAATAGACTGAGACCATTAGAAGGCCGAATCGTAATCTTAAAGCAAATGGATGGTCCAAAGTAAAAAATTTGCAAAGTGAGCCTACAATCAGAATATTGGGAAGCTTATCGTCTCTATCGAAGAACACAATCCAAGTCAAACTGCTCTCCGTATTCACTCTCTATTAAAGGCAAAAGAATTCGAAAACAGTTCGAGTGGTACAAGTGCCAATAACAACTACTCGCTGGCAAAACTACTGATGCCACTCTCTGCCGAGGGTTGTTTATAAGCAAGCTGATGGCGGGTTTGACTCTTCTCCGGTACATGCCAGTACCAAATTTACCATCAAAACGAATCGTAGAGGGATTAATTGTCCAACTGGAGTAGTGGAACTTTCGACCTACTACTGTACGACTACAGTGCTACTACTCATTGCGCCATGCCTGCCGTTAAATCACCAAATAATAAAGGTAGCGTTTTTTTTGTTTTACC